TGGCGCCGGGCAGCACGAGCAGTGGCCTTTGTGGGCGCCCGCACCGGTTCCGCGTGCGGGGGCGTGACCATCGGTCTAAGGAGCCAGCAGACGCCGCGCCGGCCCGTCGCCACCGCACGCCGCCTCCGCCGTCTCTTAATTACTTCGCTTCGTTGCGATGGCGCGCGCAGCCCCGCGCCGGGTGGAGGTTCTGACTCTTTCATGCTACACGTATCACACCAATACCATACAGTGGTGAAACTCATCCTATTATTTCTTATTAATTTCCTTTCCATATTGCAACTCTCGATTGTATAACTTTTTGAAAGCTACTTATGCATACGATAATACGATAACGGAATAATAGTCAACCATAATTTTGCAGAACTTTTATCAGTTCTACATTATTTACTTTCATACTTGCAAAAGTAAGTTAAGATGAAACATGATATACTATATTTGGTAAGGTATTAAAAATAATCTTGGCAAATGTCTTTCGTCTCAATTTTCACAATTTTCTAACACACAAATACGTGAATATTCGTTATGGTTTCATTTCTGTCCCCTTCACAGGTCCCGTGCAGAATTCATCTCACGGATCATGACATTTATTATAAATTCGGAATCTCCTTAATCAGTCATCTTTATTGTTTTCTCATGCTCGACGTCATTTCTCGGTGTTAGAAAAAAACAAAGAAGGGAGAAGATCCATCCCACATTTACGTTCTAAATTTACCAGCTATTCCACTAGTAACTATCGCCTTCATAAATTTCCTCCCACCATTTCTCATCGATGGCTGATACAATTCCTTTTATCTCCAGCCTCCCATACCATCATGTGATGTCTTGTGTTTATATTTCCCGACTTGCTTAAACTCAGGCCTACATATTTCTCACAGTCTATCACCATTGCCACTCTCTTAGGCAAACGCGAAGAAAAGAGGTAGAAATAGAGACTCCTTAATTAACACGATTCTGATCCTTCTTTCCGCCGTTGCTTTAAGCAGGTCCCCTGCAGCCACCTATTCTACGGCACTTCGCTCCCATACGTTTCCTCCCACCAGTTATCGTCCGTTGACATTGCCCCTCGACCGTCGCCGTCCGCCGGGAGGCAGCGCTCTCCGACGAAGCGGCGGCCGCCGACGCCGACGCTACAGCAGCGGTGGCTGCGGTGGCTCCCGCTCTTGTGTGGAACAAACCTGCTGGGTGGGTTTAGCGCACGGTAATGCGGGATTTATAGAACCTCCTGAGCCAGCCGAAGAAGGCGCGACGAGAGAGAGAGACAGAGAGCAGCGGGGAAAGGCACAGGCGAATGGAGATGGAAAGACAGAGAGAGGGAGGGGAGGGGGAAGAAAGGAGGAAAGACAAAAACAAGCAATGGGGAATCAAACGCTTTTACAG